GCGCTGCTCTTTGAGACGTACGCCAAAGCAAGTCACGCAAGAGCCACACGGTGTTTCGTCTGAAAGGCCTCAAGAGCTCCTGGCCCTGAGACATCTGCCTGACGTTCTCCTGCGCTGCGGCTGAGGAACAGCAGCACATCGAACTCGGCGGCACTGAGGCGGGAGGTTAAGCCTCCCAGTTAAACTGGAACGTGTGCGGTAAGGAACGGAAGGGCAGGGAGACTTGCTGCCCAGGCACGGCGCGGGCTTAGGCTTCCAGTGACGAATACAGCCTTCCCAGCAGACGGTGCCAGCAATAAACCTCTCTCCATACGCAGCAGCTAGCAGGACACTTGGCTTTAGAAAGACACCCTGACCCAATTCCTTGCTCTCCTCTTCCCCCTTCTCACCACCACACTTGACTAGTCTTAAAAAAAAAAGAAAGAAAGAAAGACAGCCTTTCTGTGTAACCCACACCCTAACAAAGGAACAGATAAAATGCTGCAAAGAGGACAAAGAGAAGGCCTCCTTTGTTCTCTACCATTACCACGGCTGTGATGGCAAATACTTACATACATAGTGCCACGTGGCAGATACTGGTCGAAGAGTTTTGTGTGCATTAACTCGCCAGATCATTACAGAGCTCCTTCTTCTTCCTCTTTTGTGGTTTTAAAGAGACGGAGTCTCACTCTGTCACCCAGGCTGGAGTGCAGGGACCTGATCATAGCTCCCTGTAGCCTCGAACTCCTGGGCTTAAGCGATCCTCCTGCCTCAGCCTCCCAAGTGGCTGTGATTACAGGCATGAGCCACCATGCCTGATCGATTAGCTTCTGCTTACAGAGGAGCAACTAGGCATAGAGAGGTAAAGTAACTTGCTTAAGGTCACACAGTAGGGGACACAGCTGGGTTATGAACCCAGATGCTCTGGCTCTAAAATCTGTTCTGTTAACTTCTGTGCTAACCCAACTTTTACTAAGAATTAAGAACATAAGAAATGCTATTCTGAGTAAGATCCATAGTCCAGGATCCAGCCGTCCACCCACCCACGAGGTGGAAGGACTGAGTTAGCCCCTGCAGTGACCATGGTGATCCAGCAAGGTGCTGTCTCTGGCTTTGGTGGTATGCCCTTCACGTCCAGAGCTTCAGTGGCCGCCTCTTGATCCCTGTTGCCCCCAGGCCCTGGCTCCCCTGGAGGGCCAGGCCTTTGGCGATGTTCTGGGACTCATTTCTGGAGGTCCAGTGTAGACTCCACTTCTCTGACTCTTCAGAGATTTCTTTCTTTCTTTTCTTTTCTTTCTTTCTTTCTTTCCTTCTTTCTCTCTCTCTCTCTCTTTCTTCCTCTCTTTCCTCAGGGTCTCCCTGTTTTGTCTGGGCTGGAGTGCAGTGGTGTGATCATAGCTCACAGCAACCTCAAACTCTCAGGCTCAAGTGATCCTCCTGCCTCAGCCTCCCGAGTAGCTGAGACTACAGGCACCACCTCGACTGCCTAATTTTTCTATTTTTTGTAGAGATGGTGTCTCGCTATGTTGCTCAGGCCGTTCTCGAGCTCCTGGCCTCAAATGATCCTCCCACCTTTCCTCCCAAAGTGCTGGGATTACAGGCGTGAGTCACTGCACCTGGCCCAGAGATTTTATGTGTACTTAATTCCTTGTATTGAATCATATTCTCCTCAAAATGACTGGAGTGGTGTCTGCTTTCTGCATCTGAGCTGTGACTAACACATTTTCCTAAAGGAGTAATGGACAAAAATTAAATAAAAGCACTTCCGGTGCTAGCAGGGAAGCAGCCGTGGCTGAGAGCCGGCGGGTGTGCGTCAGAGCAGGAGGGAAGGCGCTGGCGGGCAGGCTGGGCCAGCAGGGGCTCGAGATCCAGGGCAGAGCCCAGATGTGCGGCACAGGTCAGACCTGGAGGGAACCCAGGCCCAGGCCAGGTGTGGTGCATTCTGGGTGCCCCAGGGAGCCCAGGACATCTCAACTAAGTGCTGTCCAGAGACGTCATGGGGTTGGATAGAAAGCACGTATTTCTTCTGGAGCCATGGGGCTGGGGACCAAACTGGGAGAAGTGGTGGACAGAAAATTGTCCAGCCAAGGATCATTTTCAAAACCAGACACGCAGCTGGACTCGGACTCCAGTCTGGACACTCGTACTTTCCTATTTGTGCATATTTTGTGTCCCAATAAGTCCTCTGATCTATAACAAAGATATATGTATTATATTTAAAATGCACTTAACAAATATTACTAAGCACCCACTACGTGCAAGATGCCATTCTAGACACTGAGGATGTGGCAGTGAACAAAACAGATCAAAATCCTTGTTCTCACAGGGCTTACACCTGTCATTTGAAAACTCTTTAAATTTGAAAAATACTGAAAAATCCTAGTAGGTAAAAATTACCCAATGGTACAGTTTGGATAGATGCCCCCTCCACATCTCATGCTGAAATTTGATCCCCACTGTTGGAGGCGGGAGGTGTTTGGGTGGGGCAGGTCCTCACGAATGGCTCGGTGCCCTCCCTGCGAGAATGAGTGAGTTCTCGCTTTGTTAGTGCACGAGAGAGCTGGCTGTTTGAAAGAGCCTGGCACCGCCTGCGCCCCTCTTGCTCCTGCTCTCACCATGTGACACACCTGCGCCCCTTCACCTTCCGCCTTGATTGGAAGCTCCCGGGGGCCCTCACCAGAGGCAGATGCTGGTGCCAGGCTTCTTGACCAGCCTGCAGAACCGCGAGCCAGATAAACCTCTTTCCTTCATAAGTGACCCAGCCTCGGGTACTGCTTCACAGCAACACAAAACGACTGGCACACCCCTAATCCCCTCGAAAGATTTTGCTCTGTGTCTGAAAACACAGAGCAAGGAGTCAGTGCTCCCCTTGGCCCATCCAACCCTTCCCAGCCCCCACAAGGTAACCGTTATCAAATTCTCCTAAAACTTTAAAGACTTTTTAAATATATAATATGTACTCAGATAATTTTAAAAATTGTATTCTATTTTTACAAAAATAGAATCATGCTTTACAGAATGATCTAGAACATGTTTTTGCCCCACCCCATCGATCACGAACCTCTGCTTTAGTTTGAGTTCCCCAAGGAGCAGATCTTGGGACAAGGGTTCAAATACAGTCCCCGCCCAGCACACCTAGATCTTTGCCTTCATTTGAGCAGCTGCACGGCATCCCCCACGTCTGTACCATCGCTTCTTTACTACGCCCTCAAACACTCGGTATCCGCCCGCCCACTTCCCGCCCTCTGACGCTTAGGAGTTTGGGTGAGCGTGTTGAAATCACTGACTCGCTAGAAGGTGGAATATATGCAGTCAGGGGAAAGTGCATTTTCCAAAGGCCACAGCTACGGGACGGGGTGCTGGGGCCCAGAGAAACGACAGTGCCGGCAGTAGGGAGATAAGGTCAAGGAAACTTATCATTGTCCTTATCACACTCAAGCTTTACAGCTGACATGTTTATGTGGAGTTGGCCAAACCCGTCACCATGACAATCATAAAATGGAAAAGATTCCATTAATTTTGTGGTTTATTTTCTTTTCACCAGCTATAGCGGCCACTTGCTTCTTGACATTCTTTGGCCTAAGTTTCATCATATATCACCAGTTCTATCATATCTTTTGGAACTAGTCCCTACCACAGCATTTAAGATTGCTGATCTTTTTAAATGACAAAACTATATATGATTAATTATCTGAGTGATTTATCTGCATTTTGTGGTGGTGGTGTTCTCGGATCTTTGAAAAAGGATGGGAGTCTTAATGTTTCTAGGTTGAGTACCAGTTGCTAAAGTCTTTAGTGTCTTGCTGGGTGATTTCAGATGACCATCAGCACCATCAATCAATGCTTCTAGAACCTCTATGAGAACCACAATACAGTGGAAGAGGAGGTTTTAGGTTGGCAGCAAAGACTTGGCATCTACCCCTGGCCATCTGTGTGCCTGTGGCACGTCACTTGGCCTTCCTGGATCTTGGATAATATACCTCTCTGGCTCAACTTGTTGTGGGAATCAAAGGAAAAACAAAATGTAGAAATGTTGTTCAAGTATCAGCTGCTATATGAATACCGTACATTGGAGGAAGACTCGGGATTTCTCTAGGCTGTGGTGGTGGCATTAACTCTTGTCCCCCCACTTAAAAAGTCGGCATCCTGGAGCCAAACTGCTCAGTGTGCCATGGTCCCCACTAACAGCACATTCCGCTCCCCAAAGAGCCTCAACACATAGAGTAGATTTTACCAAAGATTTCGTGGGGAGTTGGGGAGAAGATTCCCTACAACCAAACTCAGTGATCTTTTCCATCAGAAACATCTGATATTCCCTGAAAGCTCATCGTTGGCCACCAGGAACCTTAGTTCTGTGTCCCGCCCTGTCCAGCAGGGACTCCCAGCCTTGGTGGCTCTTTACTCCTTAACGTTCTCTTTGGGTCTTTCTACGCTTCTTCCTCTCTGAGTCTTCACAGAGGAATTATCCCTTTAATCTTCGATTTTCATACCATCTTTCCATTCAGTGGTCAAAATGGCCTTAGGTTCTCCTACCCTCCTTAGAAAGCAGTGGGGGAATTTTAAATAACAAATGTTTTTCTTGTCACAAACTTTTTCCCTTGTTATAGTATTGTTAGGTACTTTTAGTATTCTCATTGTTCAAGATGTTTATAGATGGCTTATGTCCAGAAACTTGGGGATCACCTAAGGCCGGCCCCTCATTTGGTACCTGCAGTTACTGGGGCCCAAAGAGGTCAAGGGACCAGCCAAGGCTGTAGAAGAGTGTGTGGCAGACAGACCCTCAGTTACAGAGCTGACTCCAGTCCCGTGCTCGTCCACTGCATCGAGCCTGGGGTGCTCATGAATTGAGAGGCTTTCAGATTCAGTAGAACCCACAACTCTGATCTAAAAGGGAGAACCAACCATTTAGAACCAACCCTTCATTTCAGAGAGGACAAAACTGAAACTTTTCTTATAGTTGTGGACCCCGAATCCTAAAAGTACAACGGACTAGAAGGGTACTTTAAAACTTATGCACTTGCCTGGTGGGTATGGTTTCCAGGAACGTACACAGACTTAAACTGTTTCATGAGATTCCGAGCTCCGGCAATATCCCGAAGTGAAGTAAAGAGTTCATCCGTGGCAATTTTGGATTTGTGAAATGTCAGGTTAATTGAAGAGTCATAGCCTGAAAGAATCCAGAGATATTTTCTCGGGTGAGCAAATCTTTAAATTGAGTTTTCATCCTGACAGCTTGAGTTCAATGTAATGCAGTTGAGATGTTTTTCTTTTTCTTTTTTTTTTTTAAACCCAGTTTTTCCCTGGCTGTTCACCAACTGGGCTGTTGCAGTCATCTAAGAGCAATGAAACATATGGAGTATAAATGCCTTTGACAGAAGAACTCGAAATTGCCTGGGATCGCAGCCACTGGCTGCCACCCCGAGACTGCAGAAGTTCCACAGAAAGAAAGCTCCTCAGGGCCTGTGCTTCTCAGAGCACAGCTTTGGGAAAATATACGGAGACACAAAGGAAAATACAAGTGCGTGTTATGATCAAACTCCCGCGCTTGAGTCCCACCAACAATTCCCATAAAGTAGGACAGCATGAACGAGAAAGATTCTAGAGTTTCTGCAATAACAGAACTTGCTAGGATGGGCATCTGTCTCATGTGCCAACAAAGCATATGGCATATTCCAGAAGGCGGCCATTCAAAGCCGATAAAACACAAGGGACCTAACAAGATGACCATTCTCCGTAATCATTCTATTTCTTTTTGAAACTTATAAATAGACTTGTTCTCTGATTTGTTAGAAGTTCATTCAGAAGAGAAATAACCATGGATAAGTTAGAAGTTAAAAAAAACCAAAGATTTAAAATGTGTCTTCTTGACTCACTTAAATACATCAGATACGCCAACTCATTAACTTTGGGGTAGGAGCTGCTATTGTCCCCATTTTAAGGAGGTGCAGGTGAAGCAGTCGCTGTGCCCATGTCCACGCGGTCACCTAGGCAGACGGTTTCCACGTACTCTGACTACCTCCTACCTCAAGTACCTGCGTGTCTGTCTGTCTCTGTCTCTCTCATTGTCTCTCTGTCTCTGTCTCTTCTTGTCCGAGGGCTTTCTCTGGTTGTAGGAGCATGTCTGGCCTGAGTGTGGGGCAGGCCGGGAGTTCGGGGGAGTCAGCACTCATGGGAATAGCCACACTTTCTCTTCCTTGGGGGGCCAGTTCTGAGTTGTGGTCCCCACGGCCTTTCTCAGAAGCTCCAGCAGGACCGAGCCCGGCTGCCCACAGAGCCACTCCTCATTGATGTCCCCGTGCCTGGCTTCCCTTCCTCCCCTGTCTCACCTCCCTGTTTCCTGACTGTGCTCTGGGGACGTCTTTCCAAATGCTGTCCTTTACTCAGACCCTTGTCTCAGGACACCAGAACTTTCACAGTCCTGCTAAACATTACATTTTGCTGTCTTTCCTACGTGCCAAGACCACACATATCAAAAATGGAGGGAGTTGCAAATGCCATTCTTCTTGGGAAGCCCTGGGCCTGTCCCTGGGTTCGATGCTAACGGTGTGGTTTGCAGCAGGACCCTAGAACCTTCCTGTTTGGCCGCACAAGGTGTGAGGCATCCCGGGCCTGGCTGCGCAGCCTCCTTTGAGTCTCTGCTCTGCAAGGCGCTGTGTTCAGTTCCTTCTATGAAGCCCCTGACAGCCTGTTCCATTAAGCCAGCTTAGGGGATAATGGCCTTTTGTCAGGGAATTCTGAGCGTACAATTCCAGTCAACTCTCATTGAATCTACTTAGTTAAATAGATAATAAACTAGAAGCTGATCCTAGCCTTTGGCCAAGCGCGGTCTATGTACTTCAGCTGCCTACTTCTTGATAAGGGAGGCCCCCAATCCCCTAGGGCACCCCTGTGTTCTTGCAGAATGGGGGGATGACTCATGCCCCTGCGACTGCTTTCTCAGGACGGCTTGGGCTCTCCTGGGCAGGGGTCTAGTTACTCCTCAGAGCAACAAAATAGGGCTCCCGTGTCTGCGCCTCCCCGCCCTCCGCCCCCGCCCACCCCTCTCCACTTACTGAAGTCCCTTCCCTCCCGCGGAGTGAGGAGAGAGGTTTCCATGGCTCTGTCCACCGCGGGGACCCACGTTTCCAGCCCCAACAAAGCCAAAATGGAGAGAAAACTGAACAGCTCAACACTCCTCCCGGGACGGCTGCAACGAAGCAGCGCTCCTGACTCCAGTGCGCCTCTTCTGGTCGGTTCTCTCAGGGGGTAGCTGGAAGCTGGCTGGTGCTTGGGGCACCTTTTCACAAGAATCTGGTTTCCACACGTTTGGTTTTATTCCTTAGGTATTCAGGAAAATAAAGCATCTTGCATCGGAAGGCTGCCTCAGTCTGAATAGGAGCTGATGCAGCCTTTATTCGAGGCCTTGGAGACACACACATGCATACACACACACACACACATGCATGCACACACACACACACACGCACAGGCGCACACACACACACACGCACGCACACACACGCAGGTCAAGCATAAAGGGTGCCGCCTGTGTGTGGCGGGGTAAGCTGGGGAGCAGGGGGACATGGCCAGGGTAGGATTTGAAACGCCTCCCTGTTTACTGATACTATTCTCCTCATGGTTCTAAAGGCCCCTCAGGCCCCTCACTTATGTTTGGGAAAAGCCAGGGTCAAAAAATAGACTTTAAGTCTGGTCAAGAGGCCATTTTCTCATCTGGTCCAGGGCTGGTCTCCTCACCCTTCTCCTGGCCTGGAGTTTGAGATCGCGAGGCCACTTTCTCCCGCGACCTCCTGCCGGCCTCTCGCCAGGCCCCAAGCAGCAGGCGGCCACCTCGGTGGCTCCTGGGCCGTCAGAGAAAAGGTCTGCTGGCGGGTGGGACAGGCCGGGGCCAGCGCTGTGGGTCAGGACCTCCCTCGTCCATCCACCAGTCTGACAAGCCTTTTCTCTCTTTTCAACGGCTGTTTTTAAAATGGAGTCTTTTCTCGTGGCTCTCAATAAATGTTTGGCAAATGGAAAGAAAACAAAATAAAAACCAAATAAACCTCAGCAAGTGGCGTCACAAGTGAAATCTTCTAGTGATGCTGATGATATAGAACCACTCTTAAGTAGCGCAGTCCCGGTTACTACATGACGTAAATAAACGACAATAGAAGCCTTCTTTTCAAATGTGCTTGGGACTGAATCATTAGTCATTAAAACAGGGGGATCGTGAGAAATAGATCTCTCTCTCACACACGAATCTATATTCATCCATCTACACATCCATATACAAATATCCACCTATATGCATAAACACATAAACACGTAATTTTGTTTTAAACGAAAACATAAACGTGCTCCCATTCACTCATCTTTTGACGAAAGACCAAGTCTTTCTTTGAGTATTGTCTGCTGAATAGAGTTCTTTTTAAAAAAGCCATTATTTACCATGTAGGATTCCTGACATACTATGTCGTCCCTTTAAAAGGGAACCAGAAGTTAAAGACACCCGCATCACAATCTGTGGGCAGAATTCTTCTAGATTTTAATGTTTTTTTCTTCAATCTTTTACATTTGTCTTCACACCTTAATTCTAAAGCATTTTTAAAATGACTTATCTTTACTGAGTCTTTCAAAACCATTCAATTAGATTTTCACTGAAACAATTTTCTTTTTGAGTTCATATTTCATAAGTATGTGAAAACATTTAATTAAAGTTTGCAACTTAATAACAAGTACAACTGGCATAAACAGGTTCGAGAACAAATACAGCTGACTCTTGGGAAGCACACAACCCAACTGGGAAGAGCAGGTGGACACGGGCACGTGGAGATGCTTTAGAGCCATGAGGGGGTCAGGGTTTGGGCATTATTCTTTTTTTATAAAAGGATTGCAGACTGTCAGTTATGCTGGCCATGGGGTCATATGGAGGCTGGTTTAGAATATACAGATTATATGCATACTATTAATATTTATAAATCTATGTTCATTGTATTTATTGTGTATATTATACATAAATAAAAAAGCATATAAATACACATTTCTGAGGTTCCATATTTATACTACCCAGGCCGTTGTATCTATGTCATCAATTTCATGCTTACTAACCTAGTGTGACTTTAAGTTCTTCTAACACAAAAAAATGATAATCTGGGTTGTCAGACTTCAGGTCTTACAGGGCCGATTTCCCCTTCATCGCGGAGTCCTCAAGCTGTATCTCAGGGCAGGGCTCCTAGCAGGTGTGGAAGTCGTGACATAAATATGTCTGGATGCGTGAATAAGGCGGCCCAACAAAATCAGAACCAGAAACATCCGGGAAAGGCCACGAAGGCCCAAGACAGGTGGGCACCCACAGAGGCTGAAGTTCTTCCATAAGCCTCCCCTGTGGCTCCCAGCCCGCACTGATCCTTGGCCCCTTGGTTCACTGAACCCTGCTCAGAGTCCTGGAGTCCCCTGGCCCGCGGCCTACAGCTATTGCTCCAACGACAAAGGCGGGAAGGGGAGAGGAGGGCGGGCCGAGCCCCAGTGCCCGCGGACTCTGCACTCTCCTGGCTTCCCTGCCGATGCCGGCACAGGGCTTGGCCCACCAAAGACACCTACTGATATTTCTTAAATAAATGAATGGGGAAAATAGAGAAGTTACAGGAAAAATAGTTGAATCAGACCCAATATGAAGAAAAGCGACAGCACTGATTTTCTTGAGCAGCTGATAAACTATCTCTGCAGGAGATTTCAAACAAAGAGCTCCCAGATGGTTTTGAGCAATCGCAGCCTACGGGGTAAGTGGATAAAACTCCCAAAAAGGCTACTTGAGAAGAGCAACCTCAATTGGCTGATAAAGTCTGTTTGTCTGTTTAACAAGAAAAACTAAACTATACATGGTTTAAATATACATACATATGTGGCAAAACTGTTTTAAAGAGAAAGAGGATGATAAACACAATTGAGGGCAGGGGTTACCTCTGGGCAGGGCGGGAGGCTGGGGAGGGGCATGCAAAGTGATAGGACAGGGCGTGTTCACGGGTGTTTATTGTATAGGTATGCTTTATAGCACATATATCATATAATCTTTTATATGTATCAGCTGTCATCTTAAAAAATAAAACAAAAACCAGTTCTACTCCTTTCTGAAGCCTCCGGCAAACTCAGCTTTTTAAAACAGCTGATTAAAGGAACAAGTGACAGGCTTTGGATGTGTGGTGGACGTGGAGAGACACGTACATTAGGGAGAAGCTGTGACACGGTTGCACGCAGCTGCCCAGAATTCCAGCCCAAGCTCTGAGGCTTCTTGCGAGGAATCGTGTGATAGGGAAGCCTGAAGGAGGGAAAAATCACCAGGAATATGCTTTAGAGTTCGCACATTTTTTTTTTTTTTTGAGACAGAGTCTCACTCTGTTGCCCTGGCTAGAGTGAGTGCCGTGGCGTCAGCCTAGCTCACAGCAACCTCACACTCCTGGGCTCAAGCGATCCTCCTGCCTCAGCCTCCCGAGTAGCTGGGATTACAGGCATGCGCCACCATGCCCGGCTAATTTTTTCTATATATTTTTAGTTGTCCGATTAATTTCTTTCTATTTTTAGTAGAGATGGGGTCTCGCTCTTGCTCAGGCTGGTTTCGACCTCCTGAGCTCAAACAATCCGCCCGCCTCGGCCTCCCAGAGAACCAGGATTACAGGCGTGAGCCACCACGCCCGGCCAAGTTTGCACATTTTTAAAGGCAGGTTTGCCTTGCAGGGTGCAAGGTCAAGTTGCCAGAGAGTCCCAGGAAGCAGAATCCTGATGGGGACCCAGGCAGCTGGACAAGCAGCCCCTGGATGCTGAATGTCTGTGCTGCTTCAGAAAGCGTCAGGAGTCGGCAAAACAGACAATTCTAGATCAACACAAAAACAATGAAATAACCCCAACTATTTCTAAAATTTCCTCTAAGATGCCTGTGAAAATCTCTCCAAAGCAGCTCTTCTGACTGCCATATCTGTATGAAAGCAGTTTCTTCATCTTAAGATTCTACGGGTTAAATAAGGGAAGCATCAAGGACTTCGTAAAAAATGTGCTACTGTATCATATTAACTAATGCAATTTCCTGCATTGGTTGTTACGTGGTCTATTGAATCAGTCCAAATACACTGCAGACAAAGAGATCCTGACGTTCGGCATTCAGGGTAACCGAAATACAACGTTTCAGGCTATTTCTTTAAAAAGGTAGGCACTGGATTTTTGATCAGTTACATAATATCTTCTATTATCAGGCTGTCACCATGAGAAAATCAGATCTCGTAGCATTTAGTCTTTGGGCCCCTTCCCAGCACTGAAACCTGCCGTAAGTGGGGGAAATGCCCAAATAGCGGCTGACACCAGGCTCAGACACACAGACCTTCCCGTCCCAAGGCGAGCGGCACGCAGGCCCCTACCAGTAATCGCAGCCAAGTTCTCAAACTGGCGCATCTCGCTCCAAGTGCTTCCTAAACGGTGGGTTGTTTTTATCCTGTTGAATTAATTCTATTGAATTACACACTCGCCATTTATACTATAATAAGCCCCCTTTCAAAGTGTGTTGACATTTCTGGTGGTTCTGAATAGCTCAGAATGGTTTGCTGGACTCTCAGAGCCGACCTGGGAGACTATTTGCATCTGGTTGTTTTCAGAAGCTGTCAGGTGGCAGAGCCCTGGGAGCCCCGCTGCACCTTAGGGAAGAACACCCGTGCCATTACCACTGTCGCTCTCGTCTTCTGAACCTCGAGGAAACAAGGCACGCGAAGCAGTCACAACATGCTCGCAAGTTAAGCACAGCTGGCTGTTTTTATGTTAATAGTTCCTTATTTCTTGTGTTTTTGGGGGGAGGGGGGCTACAAAAGGTGAAGCAGCAACAAAGATAAAACACAGGATGGATGGAAACACATGGTGGGAAAAAACTGGTCTGCTTACTTTATTTTCTTTGAATTGGTAAAAGACTGCCATCATTTCTTTTTAGCAGGGAATGGGACTCCCCCAGCGCATAGTTTCAGAAACAACGGGCCAGTCCGATATTCCGGAAAGAGGGAAATGGAAGCCTGGATGCTTCTCCCATGGACGGTCCTTCTGAGACTGGCTGGAGGCTGAGTCCTCCTGCCCTCCACGAAGCAGGATCGATGTGCCGCTTCCTGCAACTAGCTGCGTACCTTGTTACCCTCCACTGTCTCACCCTGTTCTCCAGCACAAAAATGTACGCGCGCGTGTGTGTGTGTGTGTGTGTGTGTGTGTGTGTGTTGGTGGGAGGGATTCTACCCTACGCAGCTGCAGCAGAGGCCCTGGAGCTCCCCCAAGAAGACCACCTGGAAGGCTTCCTGGAGGTGCCGGCCAAGGAGGAAGCCGTGAAGGACCACAGCAAGGTGCGCTATTTCTGCTCCTTTCGGAATCTTAGCCCAAGTCCACTCTGGTTGTTAGTTTTAAAAACAGTACATGAGAATTATTTTTTAAGAGATAAGGTTGTACTTTATTTTAGAAATGCCAAAGAAACTGGGGCAAAGAGTGTGGGAATAATATGGTTTCGCGGGCTAGGATGTGCCGCCGGGAAATGCCTTCTGACCAGGTTACAAAGAACACTTCTCTCAGAGTGCAGCTTGTCTGCTAATTCCGCAAACCTGTGCTACAGCTGCTCGTCCGTTTGTAGAAAAGGATGGGATCAGAAGTCCAAACCATGGCATATTTAAAAGCCCTTCAAATTACTCTCTGGCCCTCTCCCACCACTTGTTCTCACCGTCATTTAGAAGAGTTCTTTAAAACCTTTCTTTTTCATTATGTTTCTTGAGCCTGCCTTACTGAGCTTATTATCATGAGTTTCTGGAAATACGTGGAGACAGTAGTCTTTTTTTTTTCATATTTTTGGGGAAGGCATGGTGGTTAATAACGTGGGATCGTTTTCTGATCTATTTGAGAAAAAGGAAAGAATAAAAGGGAAGCTTATTGGCCTAAAGTTTCTTTCATCCCTTTTGTTTCTGGAAAGAATAGAAGGGCAATCGGAGTCGATTTTTCTTCCAGTAGGAGCCAGATGAATGCGGCCCTTAGCTCCCCCCCAGCACACACACAGATCACGCCCTGCCTCAATCTAAGGTTCCGCGCACCTGTTGTTGTAAATCTCCCTTGAACCCAGCCAGCGTCGCTATGCCTGAAATTTAAGCTCCCACTCAATGAGGCCCCTTATCTCTCACTTTGCCGTATTTTCTTTTGGAGGCAGCATGAATTAGCGTGTGGGTTTAGCCATGCCTGGTTCAGAGATGGGATGTGGTCCAGAGAGGGTTGCCAGTGGGCTGTGGCAAGGAAAAGAAGGGGAAAAATGTTGCTCTTGGCCTCGTCTGTTTCTGAGGCAAGAATAAGTTCCAGAAACAAATGTGGAGAAATCAGGAAGGCTTGCAGATGCCTGCCTGCCTGCCTGCCTCTTGCAACTCAGGGCTCAGAGCACCTTCACGTCTCATTACAAGCAGGGTTAGGATCTGGAAGGGGCAGGACGGAAAGCAGAGCTTTCCCTATTTCTCTAACCCTGAGGACAGAGCGAGGCTTCGTGCTGGGGTGCAGAGGGCAGCTGTCTGCAGTCCTCTAGGAACCCCTGGCCCAACCCCCCAATCCAGACTTAGGCTCCTTTGGGAGTCTCTTACCTATTTCCCTCAACTTCTGGTGGAGATAACTAAAATGAATCGCATTGTCTACAGGGCGATTAAAACTCTTGACAAAAATGAATCATCATAAAGATTTAGGGCTTCTAGGCTTTCACTTGCTTGTGTGCAGGGACATTTTCAGGCCCGCAGCTGTTTTCCCAGTTATCCACGTCTACCATGAGTCACGGAGGATGAGTGTGAGTGAGTGGGGTCTGGGCTGAGAGCGGGGTGCTCTCCTGCAGGACGGGGATGGGAGGGGTGAGCCGCAGCTGGCTCTGTGGTCTAAAGTGAATACACACTGAATAGCTGAGCAAGGCCTGAGCTTCTCATTTCCCACAAGAGCAAGGGGGTTGAGAGTTAGATTAGAAATAAAAACTCCAAAGTGGTTAGAATTCTTTTGGGCCCTGCTATGGTTTGAATGTGTCCCCCAAAAGTTCACGTGTTGAAAACTTAATCCCTGGTATAACAAGGTTGGGAGGTGGGGCCTAAAAGGAAGCGATTCGGTCACGAGGGCAGAGCCCTCACGAGTGGATTAATGTCATTATCCCGGAGGAGGTTACTTATCTTAAGAGTGGGTTGTTATAGGCCAGGCGCAGTGGCTCATCCCTGTAATCCCAGCACTCTGGGTGGCTGAGGCAGGAGGATCGCTTGAGGTCAGGAGTTCGAGGCCAGCCTGAGCAAGAACAAGACCCCCGTCTCTACTAAAAAAATAGAAAAATTAGCCGGGCAACTAAAAATAGAAACAAAAAAATTAGCTGGGCATGGTGGTGCATGCCTGCAGTCCCAGCTACTCGGGAGGCTGAGGCAGGAGGATCGCTTGAGCCTAGGAGTTTGAGGTTGCTGTGAGCTAGGCTGACACCACGGCACTCCACTCAGGGTGACTGAGTGAGACTCTGTCTCCAAAAACAGAAGAGTGGGTTGTTGTAAAGCCTAGTCTGGACCCTGGTGGCTCTTTGTCACATGTGCTTGCTTCTTCCTTCTGCTATGGGATGACTCTTGCCAGATGCTGGTACCATGTTCTCTTGGACTTCCCAGTCTCCAGAACTGTGAGCTGAATAAACTTCGATTGTTTATAATTTTCCCAGCCTGTGGTATTCTGTTACAGCAACAGAAATGGAACTAAGACAGACCTCCCCACCTCCCACCCTGCAACATGGAAAGAAAAAAATGGCCAACCCAGATGTGCCAGGCTGGTAACACTTGAATTCTCTGTTTTCACACTATCTTACAACTGCCTTCATTTCTGTTCCAAGTACTTGCTCTGGACCAGCCTTAATGAACAGCCATGTGTTCCCCACCAAGCTGCCACAATTGTTTCCTTGTGAGCTCATAAAATGAGACAGGTCTCAGGCCTGCAATGGGCTTGGCAGTTCATGTAGGGTCATGCATCCAGGAGGTGGTCAATAAATGTAACATGTGGCTAGATTCAAAACACGTAATTGTTCTTAAAAAATAAAAAGATATTCCATGGAGATCGCCGGCCATGGCTTTAGGGCCCTATGTTCCCAGAGGCAGGTGCGGCTGTCTGGTTTGTTGGTTGTAAAAGGCCTTGAGGCCGGATCTGGGCCGGAAAGCTCTGGGCTTCAGCTCCTAGAAATGCACTTCCAGGGACTTCTGCAACACCTCACACAGTCACAGTGAGCATGTACTGAGCTCTTACTGGGTGCTCAGTACGTCACATGTATGATTTCACTGCACTCTGCAACATTTATGTTAAGAAAGGGTTGGAGAAATGTATAAGGAGATAAGTCTCAAGGATGTTCACAGTAGTATTGTTTATAATACTGAAAAATTAGAATTAAACATCCATCAATAGGAGGATAAAATGAATGTGTTTGATCTATTAGTTATTGATAAAAGAATATGCCCATGCTAGATTGCTAAATGACAAGAGCAGGTTGCCGAATAGTATAAATAGATATGCATATGGTACATATACTGTCATATATGTACATGTATATATATATGTATTTCTGTATACAAGCACAGAATAATATATTACAAACTAACAGTCATTGTTCCTTGAGAACATCATTGTCCAATAGAACTTTCTGCAATAATGGAAATATTCTACTCTGTGTGGTTCAGTACAGTAGCCACTAGCTACCCGTGACTCTTGAGCACTTAAAATGCGGCCAGTGCGACTGGGATCACCAGCCTGTGCCGTGAGAGGCTCGATACTGTAAAGCCAGAGTCACCAACTGAGGGTGCGAGGAGGGAGGAAGCGAGCGAAGCCTGAGACTGGCATCACAGCCAGAATTTGTTTGAAAGTAAGCTGGCAAGAGAAGGGAAACGAAAACCCTTAGCCAGTGAGGTCAGTAGCTGGTTCATTCTGGATCCTGAAAATTCAAGGTTGGTCAAGGTAGCTTCGAGAGAAGAAAATTCTTTTACTATTCCAAGAAAGGAATCAAGGATTAAGATGACTTTTAAATTTCACAAGGGTAGGGCCCACACACTGATTCACTCAACAGATATTTCTGAGTGCCGGCCATGAAGCACTGTTATAAGCATGGGATAGAACAGCTAACAACACATAAAAATTTCTGCCTGCATTAAACTTTGTTGTATTTCTCCACCTTGCCTAAAATGATGACAACAGTAAATGTTTATTGAGCACTTACTATGTGCCAAGTACTATTCTAAGTACTTTACATATATTACTTCATTTAATCCTCTGAACTGTCCTACAAAGTAGATACTATCATCACTCCCATGAGAAAAATGAGGCACAGAGAGGTTAGGTAACTTGCCTAAGGCCACACAGCCAGTTAACAGCAGAACCATTATTTGGATACAGGCAGTCTGGACCCAGAG